AAGTGTTTCTAAAGTGGGGGGGGGGGGGGGGAGAAGAGTAGCAGTGTGCTCAGAGCCCCAAATAAAAGCAAAAATCAATTCAGGGAGACCACAAGGACATCAAGCATGTCTGAGTGTACTGCATTTTAAATATGTACTTTTAGTTGGTTATGTCTTCTAATCAAGCAATTTTAAAAGGAGAGATTTTATTTTAAATAGCAAAACATTTTATTTATGTCATGGTAACTAAATAAAACGCAATGTATAATTAATGGTCACAGCGTGAAAAGTTAGTATACTGTAGCTACAGTTTCTTGCATCCAAATGAGCAAAAGTTTCTGAAAATTATTTTTGGAAACATGGTGGATTTTAATAACCTGGTTAATAAAACTCTATTTTAATTTCTGTTTGATTTGCTGACATTCAAGGCAGATGCCATGCCTTGAGTAAAAATCCTCACTAATTTTCATACTGCATCATTGGTTTCTCAGCCACACAAAAATCAAACACAAATACCTACATCATCCACAGTCAAACAGACTATAACACAAAGAAATCGCTTCCTGTCCCAGTGGGCATGTTGTGTATGTTCGTGCATCTGCGCCCGAGCATGAGCACGTATCTGTAGCAGGAGCGTGTCAAGTGATCCACACAGGATATTAAAGCTGTCTATTCTAATCACTTTCTTACACAACTTTGCCCACTCGCCATTAAACACGCTTGCATACATGATCAGCTTTTGGGGGCAGATTAAGACTGAACTCGCTAGCACATTTTTTAATTAGTGGGGGAGAGATCCCTAGAAGACTGTGGTGAGGGATATAAGGACAGACCTTGTGACATCGGGAAAGCGAATTGGGAAGTGGAGGACGCAGCACTTGGGCCGGATGAGCTGGTCCAGATCTTTGGGCCGATGGTCAGGCATGGTCTTCATGAAGGTGGAGATGGAGGAGAGGAAGGACTCCATGTTGAATGAAGAGTTGAACGCCACCACATCCGCAACCAGGCTGGGAAAACATTTAACATAACACTTTGTCATTTAAGATAACGAAGAAAGAAAAATACTGACAAACAAAGCCACAAAATGTCAAAGTGTCACAATAATGCTTCTTAATTAATTCTCAAAAATGAGCGTTATTAAAAACAGCATATGTTTTGAAAAGCAAACTTCAATCGCATATAAAAAAGAACCGCTTAGCAGACATCTACAGTAACTAGTCCCTTTTAATATCTAATACATGTTGATTAGAATCCACAGACACAAACACACCATGTTTTTAAATGGCACACTGATTAACCCCAATTTACAGAATCAATCACTGCATTGCGCTCAATTAGAGAGTGAATTAGAGGAGCCGAGCGCTTTTTTGTGTTACTGTTCTGCCACGTTAATAAAGTTGAGCAAGCAAAGGGCCTTTGAATTATTGACATGATACTCTGACAGACAACAATCACAATGTATTCCAATTAGAGCTCTTAAAACCCTTTCTTTCAAGCATAAAGATTGATTATGACATTAGGCTTTAAAACAGCCAGTTCTTAAGAATTAGAGTGGCATTATACGAGCCCATAATTAACCAATCACATCATGCCAAGTAACGCGCATGATAAACTATTCTGTCTCAGACTACTGTCTCTCTTGTGAATTAAAATCCAGTCTGGTACAGAAATGGTACTTGTTATACACAGACTGTACTGACATTTTAACATACGTTAAGATGATTTCTGAAAATCAAAACCTGGGAAATTTCTAGTTCAATTAAAATTTTTAATGTTAAAATTTGAATTTTGTTTGTGTATTTTGATCATGGTTAATGTAGAAATTATATGAAGTATGACATATCATACACTGACATACTACTGCCATAGTAGTCGTGGCCTAATGGTTAGAGAGTCGGACTTGTAACCCGAAGGTTTGGCAGGAATTGTCGGTGGGGGGAGTGAATAACCAGTGCTCTCTTCCACTCTCAATACCACGACTGAGGTGAGACCCTTGAGCAAGGCACTGAACCCCCAACTGCTGCCCAATATGGCTACCCACTGCTCCGGGGGTGTGTGCGTGTGTGTGTGTTCACTACTGTGTGTGTGTGCACTTGGATGGGTTAAATGCAGAGCACAAATTCAGAGTATGGGTCACCACTATTCCACACGTCACTTCACTTTCACTTACAATTTAGTCAACTATGCACACTTATGAACAGTAAACCTACATATAGTTTTTTTTTTGTTTTTTAGAGTAATTCACGGCACTTTGTTATACTTATCGTCGAAAAAAATAAATAAAACTGAAATCCAGCACATTAGATACATCTGGTAACCCTAACATATGTTCTTCTTCCCAGGGTACTTTTGTAAAGTTTGTCAGAATCTGCTGTTACCATGAGAGGATCTGGTTGTAGCCATATTGGAAGTCTCTTTCTTGGCTCTTGCGAACTGGATAAACCAACTGGTTCTCATGGAAGTAGAGGACCTTCTTAAGACGGGTGAGATCAGGCCGCAGGGCTACAAGTTCAGCAAGACTGAGAACGGAGCTGGTAAACAAAACCCTGTAAGACAGAGAAAGGAAAAAAAAACAGATAAAAAAAAGGAACCATTAGTTTGCTGACTGCAACGGCATTACTTGAATATCAATGCTCTCTAACAGGCCCAAGCACTGATACTCATTGTAATAAAAATTGTTCTGACCACTAGAACCTGCTGCAGCATGTGAAAAAAAAATAAATCAGAATATATATATATGTATATGTATATGTATATATATATATGTATATATATATACAGTGGGGAAAAAAAGTATTTAGTCAGCCACCAATTGTGCAAGTTCTCCCACTTAAAAAGATGCACTTGGATGGGTTAAATGCAGAGCACAAATTCAGAGTATGGGTCACCACTATTCCACACGTCACTTCACTTTCACTTACAATTTAGTCAACTATGCACACTTATGAACAGTAAACCTACATATAGTTTTTTTTTTGTTTTTTAGAGTAATTCACGGCACTTTGTTATACTTATCGTCGAAAAAAATAAATAAAACTGAAATCCAGCACATTAGATACATCTGGTAACCCTAACATATGTTCTTCTTCCCAGGGTACTTTTGTAAAGTTTGTCAGAATCTGCTGTTACCATGAGAGGATCTGGTTGTAGCCATATTGGAAGTCTCTTTCTTGGCTCTTGCGAACTGGATAAACCAACTGGTTCTCATGGAAGTAGAGGACCTTCTTAAGACGGGTGAGATCAGGCCGCAGGGCTACAAGTTCAGCAAGACTGAGAACGGAGCTGGTAAACAAAACCCTGTAAGACAGAGAAAGGAAAAAAAAACAGATAAAAAAAAGGAACCATTAGTTTGCTGACTGCAACGGCATTACTTGAATATCAATGCTCTCTAACAGGCCCAAGCACTGATACTCATTGTAATAAAAATTGTTCTGACCACTAGAACCTGCTGCAGCATGTGAAAAAAAAATAAATCAGAATATATATATATGTATATGTATATGTATATATATATATGTATATATATATACAGTGGGGAAAAAAAGTATTTAGTCAGCCACCAATTGTGCAAGTTCTCCCACTTAAAAAGATGAGAGAGGCCTGTAATTTTCATCATAGGTATACCTCAACTATGAGAGACAAAATGAGAAAAAAAATCCAGAAAAATCACATTATAGGATTTTTAAAGAATTTATTTGCAAATTATGGTGGAAAATAAGTATTTGGTCAATAACAAAATTTTATCTCAATACTTTGTTATATACCCTTTGTTGGCAATGACAGAGGTCAAACGTTTTCTGTAAGTCTTCACAAGGTTTATACACACACTACATATACACTATATATAGACTGTTTAACAATTAATTGTTAAATAATCATGTTTGGAATTGAAAAACAAATTTTCCTGTTTGGATAAAGATTTGATGCTAAACAGCTGACCATGTGTGATTTTGGTATGCAGAAAGATTCAAATTGCTTTCCTGAAAAACAAAACTGTTCTTAAGATACTTTCTTTCAAAACACAAACTGTGCTGGCCCCAACCTTTTTAGTGGTAATGTATATGCTAAATATAACTAACAATAAAAAAGTTGTCTTTTTTAAATGCATAAAAACTGCAGCTATAGCTGAGGATGCCAGCGACAAAGTAAAAAATGAAATCCTAGATCTACAAATGAAAAAAATACATCATCTGAAACACAAGAGGACACAGAAATCTCTGCAAATTCCATGCAGAGTGAAACATTATTGAGGTTAATGAACACTCTTTTAAAATGTTATATAAACAAGTAGAGGACCATTGAAGATTTTACCCTTGTATGTGCTAAGAGCCATGGGACAAGAGCTTTGAAGTTCAGTTCTAGTCTCACTAAATGAACCCAGCCTCCTCTTCTAAGCCCCCACCGCCTGTCATTCTACAGCCGCCTGTCACATCACTCTTTGATGTGGGGAGCCTGTGGCCTTGCAACCATGACTCTGTCGCTGTCAGAAGTGTCCCTTTTATGCTAATCTACAACCAGCTCCCCCTAACCAATTCTTAATCTTAACTATACGAAAAACCAATCACACTGCTTTTAGATCAGAGTGAAGGGGCAGCTTCTACCATCCCCTTCCCCTGTAACTGTGTGGCAGGATTACGTCTCTATTCCTCAACTCCATCAGGACGAGTGCCGAACGGCACCTCCCAAATCCTCGCTCGCACACAACTCTGAAATCAAACCAGATGATGGAAGTTACTATTTTTAGTCTTGCTTTCCTGCTTGAAATTGTCAAGTGGAATGCATCCAATACTAATGAAACAGGAAGGCTTACTTTGGCTCCCTTTGAACTGGAGGTGAGGACAGACACTCCAGTCTGGTGCATCTTTTTAGGTCAGTCGGGTTGATGTGGTTGCTAAAGCAATTATTCAGACGGTTAACGTATTGGTCGTATAGACCTTAATGAGCAATTTCAGGGCCAACCAAAGGCAAAAACTAAATCTGACTCATCTATTTCAATGGAAAGTACTAGTCTCATCTCAATGTAATACACTCGATAGATATAATCTTCATCCAAAGTGTGTAAACAGAAGCCATTGTTGGCTCCCCTTAAAATGTGAAGTAACCGTAACTGTCGCCCACACCTAAATTTTTCAGTGCAAATTATTAACCGTAACCAAACCAGACATTTTGGCTCTGTGAGAACCTGTAAGATAAGAGACACAGTGGGTGGGCACGCTGATCTGTGCTGAGTCAGGTTTGTAACTGCATCATCAAAGGTGACAATCTGCAAAAGCAAGCATTGCTCTTGGCGAACTTTAGTACCTTTTCATTATTACTGTATGTTTGACAAGCATGAATGAAGTAGGAGATGAACATTTTGCCCATCCCTATTTACTGAAACTGACCACATTCAAATATTCTTACAATATTTGCCTGTGTCATAAGGGAAAGTTGCAAATGGTGTGACAGTTGATACAGGTTTTGAAGTTGCGTTCAGGTCATTGACACGTGAAGGGTTATGACTGTGCATATTTGATACCTGACTTTAGGAATGAAATGCATGTTTTGACTTTTGCTTAACTTCGAGTGCAGTGAGATGAGATTGCAGCTGAAGGAATGCTCAGGGTTTTCCCCACCCACCTGCGGTTTCTCCGTCCCTTAAAAGGAAGCAAGAAAGTCCCCAATCGGATCCTAGTCTCTAAACGTGTTTGTGTCCTTGTTTATGCAGTTTTAGAAGCTCTATCTGAACCAATACTTCACAGAGTTCCACTAAGTGATATAAGGAAACAAGTGTATCATCTATCCATGGAGTGCACTATGTGTACAGGCACACTTATTCTAATTTTAAAATATCATTGTGAAATTAAAATATTTTGATTCTGGTAATAATAAGGTTTGATTTGTTAAGATTAACTAATGCATTAGGTATCATGACCTAACAATGAGCAATACTTTTACAGTATTTATTAATCTAAATGTATGTAGAACTTCAACATAAACGAATACATTTTCACATTTCAAGTTGTATAAATGAACATTAGCTGCATTTTGAACAAACATGAATTTATAAACAATAGTATATTTATAAGCTAACATTAATAATTTAGATGAATAAATGCTGGTTAATAAAAAAACTGTTCTTCATTGTTAGTTTATGATATCTGATGAGAACCAATAAGACCAAATTGAACCTTATTATAAAGTTTTACTCAAGTTTCCATGCTGAATATAATACAGGCAGCTATAATTAAACTACTTTCATCCAGCTCAGCGTTGGTGTTAATTTTGTATCACCTATTTAATCTAGAGGTTATATAGTGACTGATCAAACTGTGTACCCAAATATACCAGTAACACCTTGACAAACTTGGCGAACTTTTGATGACATTTTAAAAAGACGACAATAGCTAGATACATTTCAGTAGAAAGTAGGAAAATTATCTAAATCCACAGTCAAACATACACCATCAGCACAAGTATTAAATTATCATTAATTAGTAAAAAATCTTAGGTCAAAATATATGACATTCCTATCCTGATTACATTTCTCAGAGAACCCCAGAAAAAAAAAAAAAGATGAAATTTGCTCTATAATTCTTTAGTAAGGTTGTACAAGAAATGCAGAAATGTGTTACATTCAGACAGGATTTAAAATTCTGAAAAGTCTTTGGTATTTGTGTGCATGTAAGTCTTGCTTCTGCAAGTTTGGTTATACTGTATAGTGACAATATCCTCAGCCATGCTTTGTAGTAATGAGGAAACCACAGCTACATGGCTTTTAAGTATGGGACTGGTAGGGTGACAAATGTTTGACATATGAGGTACAATAGAACAGAGTAAGTCAGTTAGTGCACTGATTATACATAACCTGACAACATTTAAGGTCATGCAAATGTCTAAAATTGTGTTCTTTAATCTGGTGAATGACCAATGAAATGAATACATGTTTATGTCTAAAACTGTGCAAATAATTAGTATATTATTTATAATATTTATCTCATGTATATATACACACTACCAGTCAAAAGTTTTTAAACAGTAAGATTTGTAATGTTTTTTTAAAGAATTCTCTTCTGCTCACCAAGCCTGTATTTATTTGATCCAAAATACACCAAAGCAGTAATATTGTGAAATATTTTTACTATTTAAAATGACTGCTTTCTATTTGAATATATTTTAAAATTTTATTTATTCCTGTGATTTCAAAACTGATTTTTTAGCATCATTACTCCAGTCTTCAGTGTCACACGATCCTTCAGAAATCATTCTAAAATACAAATACAATACAAAATAAAAAAATGTCATTTTGGAATTTCTGTGGTTTAATGTTATATTGTTGTTCATGTACGTTCATGATGAAATTATTTTATTGTTGTAATTAATTTATAGCATTAACAAGATGACCGGTTGAATTCATTTTGGGAGCAATGACTGATTGAATGTATTTTTAGTCCAGTGCCTGCATATAAGATTAGTATTGACCAAGTTCAGAGGCTGTCATATGTGGATCAACTTACTATGTTGTGTATTTTCAACAGTTTCAATATGAAAAATAACTTTTATATTGATTCAATGGATTTATTGCATTTTGAAAACAACTTTTACAAAACAAACTCTTCATATATATATATATATATATATAGAGTCCTATACTGACCTGTACGAGGAACTTGCTGGAACTGCCTGCATGAAGTACAGAGCAGACGTTCTGGCCCTCCAGTGCCATTTCTTTGCAGGCAGAGTGAAGCTTACACAGTCTTCAACACTTTCCTTGAGAAGATCAACCAGCTGTTTGTGGGAACCACCATAGAACGCCTCCAGCAAGAGCACACTCATGGATGCAAGTCCCATCCAAACCTGAAATTTAGTGTGAAAGCACGCTATTACTGTAGAGTTAAAAAAAAAAAAAAGACAAACAAAAAACATCACATTTCAATGACTCACATTAAAGAAAAGAAGAACGTAATAACCTATGATTAATAACCACATACTGGAGAGGGTGTTAATAATAATCGCACTGGCAAAATTTGCCCACGTACAGTACTTTCCAAATCACCTAGAATTTCATTATATATAGTATGTGTCATAGTTAAGTCATAGCTAGAGTGCATAATGAGTTAGGCAGCAAAAAACATTTTTTACAAAAAACAAATTTACTTCTCAATTTGATTGTTGTTTTGAAAACTTAAGATTCCAGGGTGAAATTAAATAAAAGCGACTTTACTAATTTAACTCGCTTCTTCAATAAGATGGCAATGACCAAAATAGTGAAGGTTTTACAGTATCAAGCTACTTTGTCCCACAAGAAGCATGTAGCTAGCATGTAGTGACAAAATATGTACTGAATCAAGCACATAGACAAACTGCAGAATTAACTAATGCTATCATCAAAAGCTCTTCCTCAAGTGGCATTGGGAAGTCTGATTCATTTTACTGAATTGGTTCATTTGGACACAGAAAAAAAAAAAGATGAAATTACCCAAGTTCCTACCCAGCATTTTAGGTCTTCTTTTCAATGGCATTTAGCTAAATGCTGCTGTTTCCGACTGTTGTATAAATCAGGGTGTTTTTTTATGCGAGTGAGTCATTCATTCAGAAACCCCTTGCTGTTCATGTGCCAGATAAATCCAGCATATTTGTGTAAATAAACTGCAATGCCAGTTATGCATAAGTTTGCAGTTATGCATAGCTTGAACGTAGTTAGCAACTTGTAGTAGCTAACAACTTTTTAAATACCTATATAAAGTACCTTTATGTAGTTATAGCTTACAGCTAAATTAAAAATTTTTAAAGTAGCTTGCTGAACACTGAATAAATTTGACGCTCTGAGATGGCACTCAAGACACTTCAAAATGACAATAATTTGTTTGTATGAATTTAAGTGGTATCTTAAGTGGTGGTCGTTGACCATGCTTTTTTTCCAAGTCTAAACACCCATGTGATAAACACTGCTGAGCAAAGCACTTCATAGCAAGAAGAACTGTGAAAACGAATCAAAACTTCACAACAGGGAACTGGAAAAGTAACAACTTAAGTAGGTTCAAGCGTCTAACCTAAAAGCCTGGGGTTTTCCAATCGCTCGGATGTACTGAGTGGGATTTTCTCACACAATGATTTACCTCTACCCTTTTACCTCAGAGCCTCTATTTTACACAGGTAAGGCGTGAAAAGCATTCGACCTCAAGCTGGAGAGGAAAGTGAGGGGTTAATGTTGCCTCGTTCAGCCCCCCACACAGTTCAAGCGAAAGGGAAACCCCACAGTGTCCGACCTCACAATTAAAAGCAGCACCATCATGCCTGTCTATGGATGCTGAGTCAATGCTCAACTGCATTCAAAAGGCTCATCTGTGTAAGCATTTACTCCTTTGAATCAATGGGTTGCCATAAAACAACACCATAACAGAAGAGTGGGGGATTCAATTTCTACTGATTAAGACAAAATACCTTTGAAGGCGGCATGAAAAATTACATTTACATGCCAAAAACTATTATAAATAACAAGCTAACATTTTGCCAAGTCATGACCAGTGTTGGGGAAAGTTACTTTTAAAAGTAATGCATTACACTATTGCGTTACTCCGTTACTTTTATGGAAAGTAATGTTACATGTTATGTTTATCTAAAATCATTTTTGCTTATTAGTTTGGTTGAATTGGATCAATGAAGGTCAGCAGCAAAGACACTGGTTAATAAATTGAGATTAAATGCATAAAGTATATTTGTGTTATTTAACACAGGGGTTAAAGCAAAAAAAAATATTTTGACTGAAAATGTTTCCTCAGCCAAACCCCATTCCACAGCCATACCTGACACACACCCAGTTTAAGAGCATTTTTTTCTTATAATTAGGAGCACTTGTCCTCCTAATTAAAAAATTTAGGAGCACCTTCTGATCAATAATAAAAAATTCTGATCAAAAATTAGCCTTCCTAATATGAGGTGACATTTGACAAAGTGATTTACAGGGGCATTTTCTTTTTACCTTTGTAATGGCATTTTTCTAATTTTATTAAATGTATGCAGTGTTTCCTAGGATTTTTTTCCAGCTGTTGTGGCAGGACTATTTCTCATGGACCACGCCCCCTCCTCTCCCTACCCAAGAATCATGTGCACTCAGAATTGAATTTATTTTAACTAAAAAAGACAAGTAAATAGTAAATAATAAAATAATAATAAATAAACTAACGACAATCAATAGCACAAACAAAAACAAGATACAAATTAAATTAACAGTACAATATTTTTTTTTCAGTTAGGTCTAACTATAATCTATTCAACTGTAAAATAACACTGGTTAGTCTTCACTGTATAATGGAGGTTTATTTAGGCTGTTGTCTCTTTAAGACCTCATGCATGGATCTAATATACTGTTACACATGGCTCTGTGCTTACTTTTCTTTTTAGGAGCTCTTGTCCTCCTAATTTAAAAATTTTAGGAGCACCTTCTGATTAATAATCAAAATTTCTGATAAAAAATTTGCCTTCCTAATACGAGGTGATATTTGACTCCTTAAAGTGACTTACAGGGGTATTTTCTTTTTACCTTTGTAATGGCATCATTTTCATCCATGTCACATTCAAAAATTTATGTTTATAAGCTTTTTAAAATTTATATTTAAAACAATATAATAAGAAGTAGAATAAGACAAATAAGTTACCAATCATATGAAATTAGTATTAATAAAACATAAATTTTTGTACTAGAAGTGGCACAGAAGAACACAAAAGTGGCTTGTAGGTACATTTTCAGACGTTTAATGAGGCTCAGAAGTGGCATGAGTGCAATTAAATTCATACATTCATGTGGAGATTAATGTTTTAAAGGGGAAATGTGTAATATTTACATCGATCTATTGACAGAAATGCAATATAATATACATAACTATGTTTTCAGAGGTGTATAAAGACCTTACTTAATGAACCGTTGTTTTTATTACCTTAGATTGTGCAATTTATATCTACATACACCGCGGGTCCCTTTACATGGAAGTCGCCACCATGCTTCTACAGTAGCCCTAAACGGACAAACAGCTCTATACAGCGCGTTTCGTCACTTTGTTGTTCTTGCGAATAAAACACTGACACAATGATGAACAAGTACATTAATATTCGCAATAACATTGATTTATTAAATAATTAAGTAAATATAATTCCTTATCTCATTGCTCTCTGCTGTCTTTACCGATGACATCTTAGTCCTGTATCGGCCACCTCTCTAAAAGGAGGGGTGAGTGGGGGACTGAGCCGTTGGTTGCAATTTGCAACCTCACCGCTAGATGCCGCTAAAATTTACACACTGCACCTTTAAATATACAATTTTGAACACAGAAATATTAAATGATTTAAATAACTGAAATGAAATGCTAAAAAATGAAACTAAATCCGCCAGCGGTGGTGGCAAGTCACAAATTGTATCACTGAATCATTCATTCAATTGATTCGTTCGAACGGCTGATTCATTCAGGAATGAAGCAAGTGACTGTCTTTATGAATGGGTAATCATGAATCACTGACTCACTAGATTTGTTCAAAAACACACTTTCCTTGAATGAATTAAACACCGCTGTGTTTGCTTTTAGAGATGCAGCGGCTGAGCGGTTACTATATTTGGAACTAAATTCGTTGAAGAAATAGAGCAAAATCAGGCACTACTTGTTTATTGAACTGTTGTATTAAATCAACATAAAGTTTGCAAACTCCCTTAATAACTATTAAAAGTTGTCACTCTCCTTATCGCGATCTGTGGGTGCACAGAAAATGAGAGCGCGCGAGTGAGTTCTAAAGACTCAACAGCACGTGCAAATGATATGTTCCGTCATCTGTCATCGTGTTATAAGCGCGGAACCTGCGGGAATGAGTACAATTGTTATTAATAGCCACAATCCCGCGCCGAAATTCAAGTTCTGCTCTGTGTTCTCTGCTAATATCCCGATTGTGAATGATGCGAACGGCATCACTATGTTGTCACTGAGAAGCTGCAGCCGTGGCGGGGATGATTTTCGGCAGAACAACAACAATGCGCTAAATGTTTCTTTTCCCCTCATTTTTTCCAATTGACGGAAATCTGTCGTAGACTTGCTGCAATTAATGCCGAGTTCACACTGCACGATTTTAGCCCGATTTTTCACTCGCCGACAGGTTTTGCGAAATCACCGATAAATGTCTGAAATCGGAGGTAAATCGGTGCTCGTTCACGCGAGTGAAAATCACGCAGTGTGAATTATCAAAGATGAGATCTGAGGGAATCGCCGATATAGTCGTTCAGTGTGAAACCAACAGTGATGCGACATCTTTGAAAATAGTGCAGTGTGAACTCGGCATAATGGAAATCCGTCGTAGCGACGGAGAACTTTAATCCCTGTTAACATATGTAATTATTGCAGGTTTGCCTCATATTCTGAGTTTGCATTTCACTGTTTTTATTCATTTTTAGGAATACTGAATCTGTTTTTGTGCAAGTGTGATGAGTAAATGCATGTTCACATTAGTCTAGGACTAAAGTAACATCATGTTCACACAGCGCACACAACGCCTGATTTTTCTCAACATGAGGACAGGAGAGCTCTTAGTCAATACATGGGAAAACAAAGTAACTGGCGTTACTTATTTGAAAAATTAACTCAGATATTTCCTTGTAAATTAAAAAGCAATGCATTACTTTATTAGTCTTTTGAAAAAAAGTAATCTGATTATGTATCTCACGTTACTTGTAATGTGTTACCCCCAACACTGGTCATGACCATATAAAAAATAAAAGAACAGAATACAACGGCATACTATAAAATGTTAAAACTATTTAAACTGCATATTACTCATATAAATACATTCAAAAGAAGTCTGATGAAATTAATTTACAC